GGAAAGTGGGTGATGGGCATTGAAGAGGGCACCTGTTGGGATGAGCACTGGGTGTTGTTGGAAACCAATTTGAAAATAAATTTCATATTAAAAAAATAAAACACTAAGTTGTATTGTCTCTGTAAGAAGACAAAACAAAAGTAAGATAAAATGTGTATGATTTAACCTTATATTGTCAGCTATTTTTAATGCTACATATTGAGAGTATTTTCAAAGTTTTCATTAAATACTAGTTACTTTTTTGGCTTCTTGCTCACCAGCTATACCTGGATGACTGAAATTTCTCCTATGTTCAGTTGAAGGAGATTGATAGGTTTTTAAACCCACACACAAAAAAATGACTAGCTGTTACAAATTTGGGTTAATTAATAAATTCATAATTTCTTTGGTAACACATTATAATAATTGCCCATACTACTACTCTATAGTAGCTAGCTATCTGTATTAATAGATACTAAGTCTCTATTGTAACTTTACATTTGCAGAATTTTCACTAGAAAAAATCTGGCTTTCAAATATGAACGTTTATAGCAGCACTGTCAGCAGTAGCCAAATTACAGAAAGATCCCAGATATCCATCGACTGACGAATGGATACAAAAGATGTGGTATAAATATACAGTGGAATACTACTTGGCAATCGAATAGAATGAAATCTTGCCATTTGCAACAATGTGGATGGAACTGGAGTGAGTTATGCTAAGCGAAATAAGTCAGAGAAAGACAAACATCCTATGATTTCATTCATATATAGAATTTAAGAAATAGACGAACATAGGGGAAGGGAAGGAAAAATAAGATGAAAACAGAGAGAGAGGCAATCCATAAGAGACTTTTTAATAATTTTTTTTAATGTTTATTTTTGAGTGAGAGAATCCAAAGCAGGCTACAGGCTCTGAGCTGTCAGCACAGACCTGATGTGGTTCTTGAACTCATGAACCCGAGATCATGACCTGAGCCAAAGTCAGACACTTAACCAACGGAGCCACCCAGCTGCCCCCATAAGAGACTCCTAAATACAGAGAACAAACTGAGGATTGCTGAAGGAGTGTTGGGTGGGGGATGGCCTACGTGGGGGATGGACATTAAGGAGGGCACTTGTTGGTATGAGCACTGGGTATCATATGTAGGTGATGAATCACTGGGTTCTCCTGAAACCAATACTACCCTGTAAAATAACTAACTTGGATTTAAATAAATACTTTTTTTAAAAAGATGCATATATCTCCATGGAAGTTGGTTTAATTCTGTAGGTTATAGATTCAAACTGAGGATACAGGGACCCTACTCAAAATCAAGATTGTAGAATTAACTTTGTGTCATTATTTGGGTCATACAGTATATAGGATTTACCAGAGTATGTTACTGTAATTACATATGAACTACACTAGGACATTAATATAAATCTACTGTAAGGAGAGGAACATGGTCTTAGAGGAGGATGACACTCTCTTACCACCTCTGTGACTTGTGCCAGATTACTTAACTCTGATCTTTGTTTCCTCAATTCTAAACTGGAGGTAAGGTTTCTTCTTTGAGATACTAATGAGCCTGCACTTACAATATTTACACTTTGGTTGGTTGCCACATTCATTCTCAAAGAGTGAAAGTTTCCCCCAATCTGAAAATGGTTTGCATTTTTCCAGATTTTCAGTGTTTAGACTCATAGATACTTAACATTTATATAGTACATATGCTTTAAAAAGAAAATCCCTCGGTTATAAAAGGCAAGTTTTAATATGGTTTAATATAACATTCCCTTGTAGTACAAATTTCTATTAAAAGGAAGAAACAAATTTATATGGATTTTCCATTGTGGTGATAACTTGAATTAAACATAAGCTGCATTTTTTTTTCTTATGTATAGTCTTGTTGAAAATGTTTGTGACTCCCTGAAATGTTGCTGTTTCATAGATAGAATATTTTGAACTTCAATGAGAATTGGACTGATTTTATGTGTCAAAAAATACTGATTAGATATATTCACAGAATAATTAAATCAGAGGAATGTTCACTCTACCTAAACATTTTTTCCTAAGGCTCCAAATTAAAGTTACCTTAAAATGGCATCTAGATACGTTTTAATCTTTAGAAATCTTATTCTGGGATCTGCATGGAGTTTCGGTAATCTCATAAATGTTTTATTTTCCTGTTGGCCAGGTAGTTCTGAGTCCCACCCCTTGGTTACTGTAATAATCTGTCTTAGATACTGCAGTGTATTGCTCCCTACCTTAGCTACAGTTAAGTTGTGGCTTTAGAGTTCTCATTATTTTTCATTCCTTTTAACCTTTCTATCAGAGCAACATGTGAGAGATGTTAGTAGTTCTGATTGGAGTCGAAGTAACAATAAGGAAAGACCCCTACTATAGGTCTCCAGACACTTCTGTTTCAATTCAGGTGTTTCCCCTGTCACCATGCAACCTCCTGTGGTAAATATGACTGACTGCTCTTTTTTCTTACGGTCTTTTAAGCAAAGTAAAGCAGCGGTTCGGCTGAAAGAAGACATGAAAAAGATAGTGGCGGTGCCACTAAATGAGCAGAGAAGTTCCACGTATAAAAAGCTATTTGGAGTCAGTCTCCAAGACCTTCAGCAGCAGGGACTCACTGAGAACGGCATTCCAGCAATAGTGGGGAATATAGTGGAGTATTTGACGAAACATGGTAAGTTATGTTTTAATTCTGGTGTTTTTACAGTTCTCGCATACAAGAAGAATGTTTTTGTGTGAACTACTTCACAGTGTATTAGAATAGTCCCTAAAACACCTTAATTAGGATACAAATTATGTAATACATCTTTTCCCTTAAAAAAGGACATTAAGAGCATTATTACTGCTAATATAATTTTGAAAGTACTATTCAGTTTACCATGGACCAATTAATCGTTGAGATTTCTAGTTTGGAACGATCCCAGTTTTGAGTTCTAAAATACACTGTTCTAATATTACTAGTGACTCCTCTTGATTTCATTAAATTCCAACTGATACTAATTTTTAGTGTAATAACACTTTTGGAGTATCTTTTTCAGCTGAGGCCAATCATGAGCTTACTGGATGCTTTGATTGCTTTCATAGCTCAGTAGGGATAGTTTAAAAAGGTATGATATATAGCCTATTATGGGGGGTCATTTACTTTTGAAGTGATATAATTAAGCATGTAAAACAATTGGAGAATACCATAGTTCATTGAATGATAAAAAGATAAATCTGTTATTGAGAGCTATCTTACGGCTTTATTTAAATGATTTTATTTAAACTAGGATGTAAAAACCTGGATAAGTAGAAATTCTTTCATATCCTCGATATTCATGCTTTTCAAATGAGGGTGCAGTATTATGGGAACACCCCAAACTGCATAATAAATATCAATAAGCTTTAGAAGTTTTGAGAAGGACGTATTCTGAGGGAAAAGCTTGGAATTTTCATTATTTTCTATACTGAAGCAACATTTCTACATGAAAGACTCACTGCAGAGTGGAGCTGAAACTTAGTTGGAATTTTTAAAGTTAAACCTTGAGACTTCAGAGGTATTCTGTACTTTGTGCAGTTTGCTTCCTTATCTTCTGATGATTATGGGTCCAGCCCCCAGCCCCCACCTGCCGCTAAGATCCTTCACTGGGAATACGTGAGAAGCACAGTGTATCTGTTCCTCTGTAGGAACGTGAATCAACTTGTGACAGGAATGGTATGGCACGTAGTTCAGACCTCAGAAGCTCAGGTGTTTGTGTTAACTGAAAAACAGCTATTTGCCCAGGTTACTAGTTATGTAGATGCCAAAATGATATTTTGTTCTGAAGACTGAAGAGCCAGGCTTGCATGTTTACTTCATAGGAGCTATCTCTGTATTTTTAGAGGATGATAAGCTACAGACAGGTAGGATTCTTAGGGAACAGCTCTGGGTTTATAACAATACTTTAAATAGGTTAAACAAAGGGGCGCCTGGGTGGCGCAGTCGGTTAAGCGTCCGACTTCAGCCAGGTCACGGTCTCGCGGTCCGTGAGTTCGAGCCCCGTGTCGGGCTCTGGGCTGATGGCTCAGAGCCTGGAACCTGTTTCCGATTCTGTGTCTCCCTCTCTCTCTGCCCCTCGCCCGTTCATGCTCTGTCTCTCTCTGTCCCAAAAATAAATAAACGTTGAAAAAAAAATTTTTTTTAATAAAAAAATAGGTTAAACAAAAAAGGTGCCATATACATCATGGCATGACGATGGGACCTCAGCCTGAGGATCTTGAAGACAGGTTATATTAATTTAGGATTTTGAAGGACTCACTCAGTATTGATTAAAACTGTGTCCTACTGATTTAGATACAAAGGATCTCTAGGTAATTAATTTAATCTCTTAAATAAGGTTGAGTATTATTCATTTGGATACCAAAGTGTGACTACTTAAAATATTTTGGTTTTAGCATAGTCAGTGTTCTGATCTTTCATCCAAAAATGACTAATAACCTCTTGGGATTACTCTTATGTAATAATCACTTTTGTTTTTAAGTTTTAAAAAAATATTGAATAGTTAATATACTTATGTAGTACAAAATACAGGAGGACATACAATTTAAAATCTCTCCCTCCAAAACCTGTCCCCTGATCATTCATTATCAGTATTACTTCCCAGTAATAGTATTGCTTCACTAGTGTCTGATATATTCCTATGAAGATATTTTATGAATATATAATCATATATGCATATCTTCTTTTTTCCCTTTGAACATAAATATAGCATATCATCCATACTGTTATGAATCTTTATAGAAAGTCATTTAGCAGTATATTGTGGAGATCTTTCCATATCACATAAAGAGCTTTATTCATGTAATTATTTTTCCCCTTGTACAATGTTTGACTATATGTGTTATTTCTTTAAGCAGTCACATGGTGATGAATATCGAATTTTACCCAGTCTTTTGCTATCTATAAACAATGATTCAGTGACTAAACTTTAACATGTGTCATTTCAAGCACTATGAGTGTATCTGTAGACTCCTGGGTCAGAGGATATGTGCATTTATAATCAACTCTAAGAGTTGAACGAGTTAAATTCACAGCATCAGTGTATGAAATTTTGACAAAATATGAATTAGATATCTATTTCATCTTACCCATAGTTCTACCTTAACAGGGTGTATTCAGGTAATGCAAACTAAATATTTTAATGGGCTAAATCATTCATTCTTAATTAAGAATGTAAAATAGAAAATCTATTCTTAACTAGAAATGGGAAATAGAATTTCTAGTGGAATATTTTCAGAATATCCATCCCTTGATGATAGTTTAGATCCATGGAATCTGAATCTTGGCTTGGCAAGCTAAGGTAGGTAGGGCACCAACCCTATATTTTGAAAGGCCACATAGTTAATTATTGTGTAGACAACTAAAAGGTCCTTATTGTGTCTGAAACTATCATGTTAATAAACCAAAACCCTTGTATAAGTTTGAAGGGTGTATAAAGTTTGTGAGCAAGATACTTCAATTAGTTTCATTAATTTTTTTTTACATCAATAGATATTTATTGTGTATTACTGTGTATTACACAATATAATAGGCACTCCATCAGGAATGATTGGTTGTATCATTTAAGCCTAGGTAGATACTGGGGTCATACTTTGATGTTTAATATAAATGGAGACCTTTAATAACTTGAGGGAAAACTCTTTGTTATAAAAGAATTTTAGGACAAAAAGGGTTTGTTAAGGTTTATAAGAAGGCTTTTAAAAAGACTCTGAACTTTTTTCTTTACATATTTTGCCTTTTTAAAAATTTTTTTCCCATTGGAAGGAAAATATTACAAGTTATAAGGCATATCATTTTCACACTATTTTAAAATAACTAATCTTGTTGACAATGTTACTGGATTCCTTTAGCATGAAGATACTTTGGAATGTACCATTTTAAATAGTGTAGGACTCTCCATCTACCACCAGGTGGCAGAATATGCTCATGTACTGTCCTAGTACTTTCTGGGCCAAAGTGTTCCAGTTTAAAAAAAAAAAAAATTGTTTATTTTTGAGAGAGCACGAGTTGGGGAGGGGCATAGAGAGAGGGTGACACAGGATCCAAAGCAGGTTCCAGGCTCTGAGCTGTGAGCACAGAGCTCGACGCGGGGTTCAAACTCACAAACCATGAGAACATGACCTGAACCAAAGTTGATGCTTAACCAAATGAACCACCCAGGCGCCCCCCCCCCTTTTTTTTTTTAATTTTTTTATGTTTATTTTGCAAAGCATGCCAGTTAAGCAAATTCTGACTTATGGCACACTTAGTTTCTAACAACATATGCATACTATTTTGAAATAAATACCTCAGTTGTATGGAAAAGTGACAATCAATGGTGTAGATACATTTTAGTTTATATAATTCTTTCATTTTTAAACCAATAATTAAGTTATTGCTTCATGATGTTTATCCCATAACTCCTGAAATCGAATATAAAGGAATCCCAGAAATATAGGAGAGTAACTCCACAAAGCCTTCTAACATCTCCTTCCTCTGGACATTTCTTTTAAAATCATCATTTCCTAAGAATTTAGAGTAGGAAAATTGAGAGATTGCATAATCTGGTAAGCCTCATGGGTACTGGATATATTATAAATCCATAAGGGGCTTTTTAAGAAACTGTATGGATCTTTTCCCCAGAGTATAATGGAGCCTTGTCCAAGGGTAAATTGTCCCTAGTTGAAAATCACTGGGTATAAGAATTGTTTGGGTGAGAGATGTTTTTGAGGGGAGAGGGTCATACAAACAAATGAAATAGGGTCAGAAAAAAATAACTGAGAAGCATTAAATGACTTCCATTTATACCTTATCTCTCCACCAGTAAAGGCCAGTGGGATCAGGGACCTTGAAAACCAAAGCTAGTTTTTGGAGCTGGGTAGTTATTTTCGAATAACTGGAAATATTTATTTGAGGGAAGGGTCAAAAAGCCTTGTTGGAAAAGAAAACCTTAAGGTCAAAGCTAGAAAAACACTGTGAAATCAGGTCCAAGAGGCATTTGCTGGCCAAGAAAAAGCTGCAGAGCTGGGTAGATACTGGGTAGATGCAAAACTCTAAATTTTCATGATTTGGACCTTGGGATGGGATTCTCTTTTGGGGGTGCTATCTACTTGATGGCAGTACACAATTGTGAAGTTATAGATAAAGCTGGTAGAATGGAAGAAATAAACCTTGAAAGCTTTAAAAATGAGTTAAACAGGAAGTCTCTCAATAACTGATATTCTTCAATATTCAAGAGAATGTCATATCATAATAGTTAACTGTTGCTGTGTAACAGATTACCCCAAAGCACAGTAGCTTTAAAACAGCAGTATTTATTATCTCAGTTTCTGTGGGTCAGGAATCTGGGCACGGTTTAGTTGTGCTTTCTGTCCTGGGTCTCTTATAAAGCTGCAGTCATAATAGTACTTGACTAGGAGAGGGTTCACTTCCAAGTTCACTCACGTGGTTGTTAGCAGGATTCAGTTCCTTGTGGACTGTTGACCTGAGGGTCTCAGTTACTCACTGGCTGCTGTCCAGAAACTGCCCTCAGTTCCTTGCCACATGGACCTCTTCATAAAATAGCTAACAAAATAAAAAGCAGCTGATTCATCAGAGTGAGCAAGCCAGCAAAGCCAGAGAGAGAGAGAGAAGTAAGATGAACATCAGTCTTTTATAACCTAATTTCAAACACAAGATTAGAACCTTAACATAATTTTGTTTGTTATATTCTGTTAGAAGCAAGTCATTAGATCCAGATCACAGGTGAGGGGAAGGGATTACACATGGGTGTGGAAACCAGGAGATGGGCATCACTAGGGTGATTTGAGAAGCTGCCAACCACACATACTGGCTGGTATTTCCTCTCATTACATGGTGCCCTGGTCATATTGGTTGTTAAAATACTTCAAATATCCTCTCTGGTTTCCCAAACTTTTGTCAAAATTGGAGCTAAAATTCATGTCAACTTTTGATATCCAAATTATAAACACACACACACACACACACGTGTATAAATATGTGCATATATGTATATACACATATAGGTATAAATATACATACATATACATTATGCAGATATCTTGGGGCTCCTGGGTGGCTCAGCCGGTTAAGCCTCCCACTGTGGCTCAGGTCATGATCTCATGGTTCGTAAGTTTGAGACCCACGTCAGGCTCTGTGCTGACCGCTCAGAGCCTGGAGCCTGCTTCGGATTCTGTGTCTCCCCTTCTCCCTGCCCTTCCCCTGCTTGCACTTCGTCTCCTTCTGTATCTTAAAAATAAAAAAACATTGAAAAAAATTGATAAAAAAATAATAAAATAAATGCAAACATCTTACCAGCCTATGAACTCTGTAAGGATAATGGTAGTGTTTGAATTTATTTTTTCAAAGATTTTTTTTAAGTTTCTTAACACAATGCAAAGTACTCATTAAATATTTTTTAAGTAGAAGGGTTCATAAAATTTTTTATCAAATTACAAATTAAAATGAAATTAGCTTTCTTCTTTTTCTTTAGAAAGAACAATACAACTAGCATGTAAGAGAAAGAAGCAAAAGCTGATATAAACAAACAGCTCACATCTGAATAATTCTAATGGGCTTCAGTGCCCTAAGTCATTGCTAAATTTCACCATTAGACTCTCAAAAGAAGAGTGGTGCAGTTGAGTCCTTGGGTTGCTCTTTACTAGAAAGATTGTTTCTTATACCTTCAGCATGCCTCCACAGGCTGGCTTACTTTCTTACATGGTGTTCTGTCTCCTTAAACCCCAGTACACTGAGCTGGAAATCATTACCTTTCCCCTGAACCTGGTACTGTCTCTCACCCCCACTTCACCTTATCCTTTACAGTGCTTTTTCCTGGATTCCTCGTTTGTAAACCTTAAAATTACCTTTCAACTCTTCCTTATTTCCTTTTTGTACTAAGTTACCAAATCATCTTTTTTCTCTACTTTTCACTTCCTTCCCACCAGAATCTGTCTTACTGCCTTAGAGTAAAATGTGGTTCCCTAAGGCAAGCTTTCTGCCCTCTCCGTTCTCTACTTAGCTAGCAAGATCCTCCTTACCCCTTGATTTTATCATGTTCCCCCTACTCCTTAATGCTCTCATGATAAAGTCTTCGCTTGTTTTTCAAGTAGGCTCTATGCCCATTGTGGAGCTCAGTCTCATGACCCTGAGGTCAAGGGTCACATGCACTACCAGCTGAGCTAGCCAAGAGCCCCATGTCTTCACTCTTGAACTTGATATTTGTGGCTCTATCCCATTTCTTCCATTTTATTACCCTATCACTCTTTGATAAAAACTCTCCACACTTTCATCTGTTTATCTTCCTTTATGCTGTCCTGTCTATGCAATTCATATATTCATTCTTCCTCAAGGATGAATCACGGTCTTCTGTGTCCTGCTGCTTAACCCTTTGAGGGCCCTTTTTAGGAAAAAGAATACAAAATTAAGAATACAGAATTAGGGACAGAACATTGGAAAGAGCCTAAATAAATGAGGGACCCTGAAGCTTAAACTGCATTAGCTTCACAGTTCATCAGCCCCAGTCTTCCTGATGCTTTCGCCAAAGATGGTGCACAGCAGCCAAAGGCTCTTTTATGGAGGCTTCTCTGCTGCTCCAGCCGACAATAAGATCCCCCATCAATTGGGGGATGGCAAGGATCTTGTCTTATACTACCTTATAGTCTCATAGAGTGTTATCCTCTGAATTTAGTGATTACAAAGGAAATATTTCTTATTTATTACAAAGGTAATCACATACAGTTAAGTTTCTCACATATGTGTTAGTTGTTTTGTTTTTTTTTTTTTTTGTTTGTTTGTTTTTTTTTCACATAGTTGTTTTCAAAATGCTAAATTGCTGTTGGAGCCCAGGGTCAGTTTCTGTTATGTACTACAGAAGGTTATAAATGTAGTTTCTTTGTAGAAGAGCATTTGTTCTAGGTTTCTATGTGTCCTAACCTTATTTTTAGAGGTCAGCTTTTATCACAATCCTATATGATCTTTCTAGTTGATACATAGTAGATTTGAAAATTTATTATTCTAGCAAAGCATTTTTATAAAATATGAACATCTGCCAGTAGGTGATAATTATTTGGAAAATCCTGCACTGAAATTTATTTTCTGTTGTTGTTATGGTTCTTTAGAGTTTTAGTGTCTGTTTGTGAGAGACCTCTATTTCTTTTCTTGCATGTCTGCTCACCTGCCCCAGGACTCACCCAGGAAGGCCTTTTTAGGGTGAATGGCAACGTAAAGGTGGTGGAACAGCTCCGATGGAAGTTTGAGAGCGGAGTGCCGGTGGAGCTCGGGAAAGACGGGGACATCTGCTCAGCAGCCAGTCTGTTAAAGCTCTTCCTGAGGGAGCTGCCAGAGCGCGTGATCACCTCGGCCCTACAGCCTCGATTCATTCAACTCTTCCAGGGTTAGTGCACTTAAATACGTCCAGCACTTCAGGCGGCTTTATGTTTTGGTTAAAACTAAGCCTTTAAATATTAAACACCTAAATTTCAAATATTAAGAGAAACTTTTAAATATTAGTGGTTTCTCCACAGCATCCATTTTTCTATTTTACTCTAGGCCCTCATTTTCTACCCTAAAATAATACTAAACGGATTATGAAATGCCACCATTAAGTGTACTAATACTGAAAAACTCTAATGTTTGTGGGCCAGAGAAATTCTTTTCTGGCGAGTAGCTATCATAGAAGGAGTGGAAATAAGGCATTAAATTCTGTAGGAGATATTAATTAAGTTGTATTTGGTTAGTGACCTTTGAGACTGGAGGGTCAACAGTGGGCTGTGTTTCTCGCCTAAGCAAGATTGAGTCCTAAAACAATTGTGTTCCTTTTACACAACTGGAGGAAAATTGATTTTTGATTGCATGATGAAGTGATCTTAAGTGAAGAAACTTCATTTTTTTTTGTTTTGGTATTTTTATTTATTTTTTTAATTTACATCCAAGTTGGTTAGCATATACACAACAATGATTTCAGGAGTAGATTCCTTAATGCCCCTTACCCATTTAGCCATCCCCCCTCCCTCAACCCCTCCAGTAACCCTCTGTTCTCTATATTTAAGTCTTTTATGTTTTGTCTCCCTCCCTGTTCTTATATTATTTTTGCTTCTCTTCCCCTATGTTCATCTGTTTTGTATCTTAAAGTCCTCATATGAGTGAAGTCAAGGTAGTAACTATAGGCATAATCATTATTTAGTTCTCCTTCCTAAATATAGTAAGAACAATGATTTAGTCTTGAAAAGCCATTTTATTCTTATTTTTGCCAAGTTAGAGTGAAAAAGAGAAAATATATTTGTAAGAGTTTTAATTGCCAGATTAAAAAGGATGTTACTTAAAGCCACATTCCTCTAAAGTAGCAGAGTAATTATTCTCATGTAGTATATGTACTAAAGAATGGGTATGCTAGAAGGCCATGTTGTACGTTGTATTCTATTTGAAAAATCATGATTATATATGAAAGTACAAAATACAGAACCATTTGTTCTGGTTATTTCAGTATTTTAAGCTTTCTATATCAGTAAGTGCAAGTGACATATTGGAGGCTTGTTCATTAGAAACTGAACTTTCTGAGGCACCTGGTGGCTCAGTCGGTTAAGCTTCCTACTTCGGCTTAGGTCGTGATCTCACAGTTCGTGAGTTCGAGCCCCTCATCAGGCTCTGTGCTGACAGCTCAGAGCCTGGAGCCTGCTTCACATTCTGTCTCCGTCTCTCTCTCTGCCCTTCCCCAGCTTGCACTCTGTCTTTCTCTCTCAAAAACAAACATTAAAAAAAAAAAACTAAAAAAAACCAAACAACTTTTTCACGTTTACATGTGTGAGGATTTCAAGGGGGTAAACATTACTCCCTAAATGATTCTGGTAAGGAATATATTATCCTTGTCATGGAGATATTAAATTTCTGAAAATCATTTAAATATAATTAAATGATTAAATATAAATGATATATAATATAATATATAATATAATATAATATAAATGATAAATATAAAAATAAATGATTAAATAAATAAATTTCTGAAAATCATTTAAAAATAATTGCTACAAAAGCTAGTTGAAGATTTAAATATGTGCTTTATACAAAATAATTAAGAATCAAATATATAGTATTAAGAATCTTTATTAATATTATGTCTTAATATTAGGTACTAATATTAATACTTGTGAATACTTGTGAATTTTAAAAGGTTTTATCACGTTTCTTAGAACAGCTTACATTTGATTAGGAGAATGCACTGTTTTATTTTTATTAATTACATTGTAGTGATATTTTGTAATAATTTTGGTCTTTGTACAATATGTTTTCATTCATGACCTCTTTCCCTGATGGCCAAAAAGCAAACGCTGTCATTTTAAACGTAAGACTGGCTATATACTCAAGCAGTTGTGTGATTATGCACAAATAACAAATTCTAAATGGGGCAGAGACCCTAACATTTGCCTTAGTGGTGGTAGTCTCTCATTTCCTGAAAACCTCTGGGGCTACATCTGATAGGTTCAATAAAGGAAGTATTAGTGAAGGTACCTACTAGGGATAAGCTGCTAAGTGAGGGGAGGAAATAAAGTATGCTTTAGGTATCAGACAGTATAGCCTCTTGAAAATAAATTTTTCTTTCCTAATTCAGGTGGTGGAAAAAGAAAGAAAAGCAGTGGTGCTTCTGTCGGTTTCTGCTGTATTTGGTATTCTTAGAGAAGAGGGTACACGTGACAACAGGTCACTCGAAAGCTGGAAATGGCAAGGCTCTTTACAGACTCAGTAAAGGCAGAAGTTACACTTGGCCAGTTATATTCTCCTCTCCCCTTTTTCACTAGACATTATTTTGATAAAACTTCCTTAGTAAAAACTACCCTGCTTTTATATTTCAGTCCTCATGACAACAGATTAAGCAGCTTTTAGATTCTGTCACAACCCTCTGCCAGATTTCTTTTCTAAAAAGTGTTAAGGGCCTTTGAGTTCTATCCTGTGTAAAGAGGAAGCTATTTGATCATTGAATATACTTAGTTTTCCAGATCAAGATCCTCTCTTTCATGCTTTACAGAATTCTGGAGCCTCAACTAGGTATTTTTTCAAGACATTGAAGCTAAACCAACAGTTGCATTGAGGATAGTCTGAATGCTGCATGGAAGCATCCCTGCTGCTCTAGGTCATCTTTTGATCATGTAAACCAACAATGACCTCTGGGTGGAAGGACACCATTGAGATTCTTTCACTAATAACAGATTTTCAACTTTAGACTTGACTGAGGTCTGAAGTTCTGAGATTCTATTTTAGGTTAGCATACCAAGATTTCTACATACCAGATGTTTATCAAAAACTTCCAACTAAAGTTGATGTCTGCCAGAACCTTTTGCTTGAGTCAAAGCCCTGGTTTAGACAATTCACACTGAAGAGAGGCCATAAAGGACTTGAGTGATCATCCTTTCTTGTTGCCATGTTAAACTTCCCTCCCACTGCGACCACTCACTTTTCTTGATTGAGGTTTTAGCTTAATTGCCTCAGCTTGGCAATGTTCCATTTTTTTTTTTTCTTATCCTTATCTTGGTGGGCCAGTAACATGTCTAGTTTTTATTTTAACAATCGCACATATGTTTTGGGAATAGGTGTGGATTGCAAGCAATAAAAAGGTTTTAGGATAGCATTCATTTCATTTAGGATTAACTAGAAACCCCTTTATCTGAAAGTTCCCTGTTAGAAATCTTCTGTAATATAAATACAAGTATCTATATCTCACAACAAATTTTTTTTTCTTACTTGGTGAGTTGGAATTGGATCAGTCCATCAATATTTATTTAGTACCTTCTACTTGGATACAGAATGATACCAAGAAATAAAAGATTAAACATCCTGACTTAAAGGAGTGTGTGATTGGAGGAGGTAGAATGTGTGTGGTATACATTCTACAGTTCTTCAAATGAGTATTAAGAATATCCTGTCAGTGGTAACAAGAGAGGGGAAATCAGTCTGGATTATGGTGGTCAGAGAACACTTTGTGGAAAAAGTAAACTGGGGTGCATAAGATGACTTTGGATGGAGAGGAAAATCATCCAGGCGAGGAAAAGGGCACGAACACAAAAACATTGTCCGTGGAAAAGAGAAATGTCTGGCAGAGCTGTCAGTAGGTAGCTACAGGAGATTAGCACATGATATTGCCTAAAAAGTAGAAGGAGACTAGATGGTAGAGCGTATCGAATTTTAGGTTAAGGAATTAATATTAACCTACAAACAGTAAATTTTTGAAGAAAGTCGTAGGATGGAAGCAGTATTTTAAGTGATGCTATGTAAGATGGATGGATGGGAAGAGGCTGCATGCAGGGAGAATATCTAGAAGACTGGCAGAAACGGAGGTCTCCATGCTAAGGACCTGTATCTGACAAATAATTGGCAGTGGAATTTTTTTTAATTGAGGTAAATACATGTAATATAAAATTGACTATTTACCCACTTTTACCTGCACACCTCTGTGGCATTAAGTGCATTCCTATCCATCTCCAGAACTTTCTCAGCATCTCAACAGAAACTGGTAATGGAATTTTAAAGAAAAACAGAACAGGGTGGCCAATAGTTAGATAATGAGATTAAGAAAGGGGTCAAAGATAACCAGAAGGTTTTGAGTTTATGTGACTTGAAGAACGGGAGGGGTAGTGTGGTGGCTGGATCCTGATGCCCATACCTCTGAGGAGGGCCACAGGGCCAGAAGGCCAGTTTGTCACACTGTTGTGAATAGAAACTAATAAATCAGGAAGAAAGTTTTAAGACTAGGTTGAAGTAGCACCAGGGAGAGCTCCCTGCTAACTCAGTGCTTTGAGGAGACCCAAGGCAGCTGTTTTTTGTTTTGTTTTGTTTTTGTCTTCAGTAATTCAGTCTTTTCTGTCTGTACCGAGGGTGGGTCCTTTACTTATTAAAATGCTTCCGCCTGTCAGACCTGATCTTTTGTCCCGAAAGGAAGCATAGACATGAACTTTCTAGGAACGTTTTGTGGGTGACGAATGCTCCTTTCCTATCTCCAGGTAGGATCTGGGACTTATGCCAAAGACTCAAATGCTATTAGCTTGGTAGGTTCTGGTGATCTCTTTATTAATCGTCTATCTCAGATCCAGCTGTTGCTATTGAAGAAGGAAGAGAGATCCTGGTGTGGCATCTTGACAATTGGTCCATTAATAACAGATAATGAAAGTCACAAGGGGAAGGTACTTATTGGGCCATGAAGAGGAGCTTATTTTAAATAGATGAATAAAATGAATGTCAGTGCTTAGGAGAAAGGGATGAAGGCTAAAGATGTGAATTTTATAGTCCTCTATGTAGACTCATCCAGACAAAAGAAATTTATTTTATCACCACAGTTCTGGAGGCTGGAAGTCCAAGATCAAAGTGCCTACAGGGGTGGTGTCTGATAAGACCTCCCTCCTTGGC